ATTGTCTGAAATAAAAAAAATTGTTGGATGGGCTTAACAGCAGAGTGGTGATGAGGAACATGACAGTGAACTTGAAAATAATACAAACCACCTGGTCTGAGGAATAGGAAGGAAAATTATTGCAAAGAAAGATGAGAGGGAAGTGGAGCAAGATGGTCAACTAGTAGCACTGGCATGTACCTCTCCCACAAAGAAGAAACAAAAATAGAGAACAAGTCAATACACTCAAAGCAGGACACAGAGGAACTTATACCCAGGACTGACAGGGAAGTGACAGCTCCCTCAGGAGGCAGAGAAGTGTATTCAGACAGCCCACCAATAGGGACCCGGTTCAATGCCAACAAGGGCCTTCCCAAGATGGAGAAGCAATGATTGAAGGAGAGAATGAGAAATCCTTACGGGCCCAACCATTTCTGCTGCAGTCGAGGAACAGCCTCTGTGACCTGCTGGCACTCAAACATCGCCCAAGTATGCATGGAATTCTTCAGGCCACTGACCCCTGCGCAGATCAGTGCCAGCAGCTGTTGCTGTGGGACAAAAAGGGAGACCCAAGGTCCCTCCACTGACACTTACTGGCTCCCGCCCCTGGTGTTCCCATATTATGAAGGGAGAAACACCGCAGAAAAATCAAGTGCATCCCCACCACAGGCCACAGATCCAATAAACAGGAGTAGTGAGGAGACAGAGCAATCTTGGCCCTTTCCCAATCTGGCTGACTTAACCAGGCACTGTCACTGGCTACAGGTCCACAGATCTGTCACCCACCCTGCCCTTTGAGGAAACCAGCTACCAGTGATTTAAAACAGGCAATAAGCCACTGAGAGTCTCCCACCACTGTGCAGGCTGTCTGTGAGCTGAAGTCAGCCTTTTCCATTACAATCTGCTACCAAAGAGTGATGGGGCGCCCAGTGGCACCTGCTGTATGGGCTGTTCCACCCAATCGTGGGCTGTTGGTTCTGGGCCCTGGTAGTGAGTGGGGGTCCTGGTAGCAAGTGGGGGCCTTTGCAAGGCAGCTAAACAGCACAATCTCCATCATGAGGCAGACCAGTTGCTAGACCCTCTAGACAGGTCCCCTATTGCCATCTACAGGTCTACAGACTGAACCACAACACCTAAAAGGAAAGAAAAAAAAAAAGCCTCGGATGAGTAGAGGCCAGTAAAAAAAAAAAAAAAAAATACAGTGTTGTGCCATGCCCACACCACTGTACCAGCCTCCAAGTATGTATCGATTACACAAGAAATGTCCATAATGACAAAGAATTCAGAATACGGATGGCAAAGAAACTCATCACCATCCAAGAGAAAGAAGACTCCCAAATCAGAGAGGACACAAAAACAGTTCAAGAACTGAAAGCTGAAATGGACATTTTGAAAAAGAACCAACTAAGCTCTTGGAAAGGAAGAACTTGCTTCAAAACACAGCTGCAAGCCTTAACAATAGGCTTGACCAAGCAGAGAACAGAATTTCAGAGCTTGAAGACCAATCCCTAGAAGCAACCCAGGCAGATAAAAATAAAGAATATCGAAGAATGAACAAAGCCTTCAAAAGGTACAGGAATAGTAAAGAGACCATATGAACATCTGGTTGATATTTCTGAAATAAAAAGAGAAAATGGAAGCACTCTGGAGACAGCAGTTGCAGACATAATCCACAAAAATTTTCCCCACTGCTAGAGACATCAACATGAAGATATAAGATATTCAGGGAACCTCTGTGAGATACAATATGATATAACCATCCCTAAGGCACATTGTTGTTAGATGATCCAAGATTAGCACAAAAGAAAGAATATGAAAGACAGCTAGAGAGGAAGGTCAGAACACCTACCAAGGGAGCCCATTAAAATAACAGCAAACCTCTCATCAGAAACCTAACATGCCAGAAGAAAGTGAGGGCCCATTTGTAATATTCTTAAAGAAAAGAAATGCCAGCTAGGTGAGGTGGCTCATGCTTATAATCCCAGCACTTTGGGAGGCAGAGGTGAGAGAAATGCCTGAGCCCACAGGTTCAAGAACAGCCTGAGCAACTTGGCAAGACCTCATCTCTACAATAAATCAAAGAATTAGTCAGGTGTGGTGGTGCACGCCTGTAGTCCCAGCTACTTGGAAGGCTGAGGTGGAAGGATCGTCTGAATCCAGCAAGTGAAAGCTGGGGTGGCCATGAGCATGCCACTGCACTCCAGCCTGGGCAACAGAATGAGACTCCAACTCAAAAAAAAGAAAAAAGAAAAAGAAATGCCAGTCAAGAATCTCTTACACTGCCAAAAGAAGCCTCATAAATGAAGATGAAATAAATTCATTTTCAGAAAAGCAAGCACTAAGGGAATTGGTCACCTTGAGACTCACCTTACAAGAGATGTATAAGGGAGTTCTATTCACAGAAACCAAAAAAAAGAGACACTCACCACAAAAGCACAAGAAATGCACAACATATAGACCATATAAATTGCTCACAAAGCTGAGACCATATAAATTACCCACAAAACTGGGACCACTAAGCAACTCCTCAACACAATGATGGGAACAAACCCTCACATAGCTATACTAACCCTGAATGTTAATGGCATTAATGCCTTACTTCAATGACACACAGTAGCACGCTGGATTAAAAAACAAAACCCATCCTTTTGCTGTCTCCCAGAGACATATCTTTACTCCCAGAGGCTCAAGGTAAAGGAGCGGCAAAGATCTACCATGCAAATGAAAAACAAAAAAGAGCAGGGCTACTATTTTTATATCAGATAAAAACAAATTTTAAATATGAAAGGTACTACATAATGATAAAGGACTCAACCCAACAGCAAGAATTATCTATTTTAATATATATGCACTGAACATAAGAGCACCCTGATTTATAAAGTAACTGCTACTTAACCTGAGAGAAGACATAGACAATCACACCATAGTAGTGAGAGACCTCAATACTTCACTAACAGCTCTAGATAGATCATTAAGGCAGAAAACCAACAAACAAATATTGGACTTAAACTAAATGCTCAACCATACAGACTGCTTAACCCAGCATCTACACAATATACAATCTTCTCATCTTCACATGAATCATACTCCAAGATCGACCAAATACTTGGTAGTAAATCAACCTTGAATAAGTGCCAAAAGATTAAAGTCATAGGAGCATCTTTTCTGACTACAGTGGAATGAAACTAGAAATCAACAAGAGGAGTTCTCAAAAAACACAAATTTCATGGAAATTAAATAATTTGCATCTGAATGATTTTGGGATAAACAACAAAATCAAGACACAGATTTTAAAAAATTATTGGAAGCCAATGGAAATGAAGACAAACATATCAAAATCTTTGGGACACTGCCAAAGCAGTGCTGAGAGAAAAATGTATTGCACTGCAAGTCCACATCATGAAAGCAGAAAGATCTCAAATTAACACCCTAATATCTCACCTAAAGGAGCTAGAAACACAGGAACAATAGCTAGCAGAAGAAAAGAAATAATTGAAATAAGAGCAGAAATGAATGCAATTGAGACACAAAAAAATACAAAGGATCAATGGGTCAAAAAGCTGGTTCTTTGAACAAATAATGTATTTGCTCAAAGACAACTTTAATTAAAGGTTAATGAAGCCGGGCTCGGTGGCTCAGCCTGTAATCCCGCGCCTTTGGGAGACTGAGGTGAGTGGATTGCCTGAACCTGCGGGTTCGAGACCCGCCTGGGCAGCGAGACCTCATCTCTACAATGAATCAAAAAATCAGCCGGGCGTGGTAGCGCGCGCCTGTAATTCCGGCTACTTGGAAGGCTGAGGCGGAAGGATCGCCGAAGCCCAGCAGGTCGAGGCTGCGGTGACCGGGAGCGGCCACTGCACTCCAGTCTGGGTAACTGAGTGAGACTCCAACTCAAAAAAAAAAAAAAAAAAAAAAAAAGGTTAATGAAAAATAAACATTTCCTTCCTCCTGGAAAAAAATCTGGTTTTTTTCAGGAATATATGTGCAGGTTTGTTGCATAGAAATATTGTGTGATGGTGAGGTCTGAGCTTCTGTTGAGCCCATCACCCAGGTGTTGGGCATGGTACAATAGGTAGTTTTGAGTCCATATTAATTATTTTTTTTCTGGATCTGTGAAAAATGATGCTGGTAATTTGTTGTTGCTTTTCTTCTTTGAGTTAAGAATACAAACACCATAATTTTGCAGGTTTAGTTCATTTGCAAACTTGACTAATAACATTTCCAGGAGTTCACAATTTCAAGGCTAAGTTTCCGATTAAGGTAATACAGTTATCAATTTAATATAAATGAAGTTCTGTAAAAAGGCTAAAAGCATTCTGACCTCTTAAGGAAAAATATAAATGACCCAAGGTTAGATTTAGTAACTTAAGTACACTTCAGTACTAGAGCAGTCAGAAAGACAGTGAGACCTGGATCCAAGACCAGAAGAAAGCACCGCTTTCTTTCTTTCCTTCCTTTCTTTCTTTCTTTCTTTCTTTCTTTCTTTCTTTCTTTCTTTCTTTCTTTCTTTCTTTCTTTCTCCTTCCTTCCTTCCTTCCTTCCTTCCTTTCTTCCTTCCTTCCTTCTTTCTCCTTCCTTCCTTCCTTCCTTCCTTCCTTCCTTCCTTCCTTCCTTCCTTCCTTCCTTCCTTCCTTCCTTCCTTCCTTCCTTCCTTCCTTCCTTCCTTCCTTCCTTCCTTCCTTCTTTCTTTCTTTCTTTCTTTCTTTCTTTCTTTCTTTCTTTCTTTCTTTCTTTCTTTCTTTCTTTCTTTCTTTCTTTCTTTCTTTCTTTCTTTCTTTCTTTCTTTCTTTCTTTCTTTCTTTCTAGAAAGCAGGATTTATTGAGAGGACAGAAAAGCTCCCACAGTGGGAGGGGACCCGAGGAGGTTGCCTGTACCACTATTTTCTTCATGTGTGTTGGTCTTTAGCATGCTAGTATGAGTAAGGTACTGTGCAGAGCACTGGCATATGAGAAGTGCAGCTGGACGTAAAGAAGACAGTAGGATGCTCAGGCACGGGCAGGATGCTCTCCCCAGTGACACATTAGTCATCTTCTCCTTCACAGAGCAGCAGGAGGGCTTTCTTATTACAGTCCCCAGATGTATCACCCTGAATCATGGAATAATGAGAGGTAGCAAAAATCTTCCTGAATTTATGTTATACAGATCAGTCTCACTCCTGGACACCACAGCTCTGATGAGGGCATGATCATCTGTCCCAGCTCCCTTCATACCAAAGTAGGGCACCTCTGTAAGGAAGGCGGGTATGCTTCGAATAGATTTCACCACAGCAAGGAGTAGTTGCTCCAGATTGCCAGAAGTCCCCCGGCCAATGGCTTCCTCAGTTGGAAATCCTGATATAGTCATGTATTTGTCAAACACCCTTCTCAAATGAGACACACTTCGTGTTCCAAAGATGGTGATAAACTTTTCTTCATCTGTACCCCGTTTAAGTTCTCCAGCCTGGAACAGAGCCTGAGCATCTTGCTCAACTTCAACTTCATTGACTCCAGCATCTGGGTCTCTGTGAGCTTGAAGAAGAATCACCAACATCCTCTGGTAGGATCCTGAAGTATCCCCCACCACGTCATCTTTCAGGCTAGAACCATATTCTTCTTCATACACTTGCTTTATGACTCTTAGTTCCTCAGGTGTCCTTGGAGCAATAATTTCAGTCACTACATTTTCTTTTTCTTTTTTTGAGTTGGAGTCTCACTCTGTCACCCAGACTGAAGTGCAGTGGCATGCTCCTGGCCACCACAGCCTCGACCTACTGGACTCCGGCAATCCTTCCGCCTTAGCCTTCCAAGTAGCCGGAACTACAGGAGAGCACTCTATGCCCGACTAACTTTTGATTTATTGTAGAGACGAGGTGTTGCCAAGTTGGCTCGGCGGGTCTCAAACCCGTGGGCTCAGGCAATCCACTCACCTCGGTCTCCCAAAGTGCTGGGATTACAGACTGAGCCACTGAGTCCAGCCCAGTCAGTACTTTTTCATTTGTCCCAGCTCCCTCAAGTGCATGCTTCAGTTCACTGGTGTCATAAAGCCGAGAGGGTTTCATCAGAGCCACAATTAATTTTTCAAATTTTCAGTTAGTTCTGATTTCAGGTCATCCAGAAGATCCCTGCCGAATAGTTTTAAAAGCTGCAGTGATCTCCCAGTACTGAGCATTACTCCAGGATGTCAGCAGAGTCAGGATACTCTTCATCGGTGCCCAAGCTTTTCATAGCCTTCCAAAGAGTTTCTAAATCAGCCCACTTGTCAAACCCAGGGAAGTTGGTCATGGTGTCTCTGAGGACCTGTGCCATGGCAACTCATTAGGTCAGGAGACAGCAATACAGCAATGCAGGACCAGAGAGGGGAACCCAAATGCCTGAACCTCCCAGAGAGCCATGGCATGTGGGGCGAAGCAGGGATATAGGTGAAGGAGAATCTCAGAAAAAATTCTAATAAACATTTAAAAAAAAGAGAATAGTCTCATAGCCCCAAATCAAAAGTTCTTTCATGTGTATATATTTGGGCTCTCAGAAACAGAGGAAAGAATGAAGCAGAAAAAAAGTGTTTAAAAATAAAGAAAAGCACCCTCTAGAATGATCTATATTTGTACATGGCATAAGCTTTCTCATTAAAAAAACAAACAAAGCCGGGCTCGGTGGCTCAGCCTGTAATTCTGCGCCTTGGGAGGCAGAGGTGAGTGGATTGCCTGAGCCCACGGGTTCGAGACCCACCTGGGCAACTTGGCAAGACCTCATCTCTACAATAAATCAGAAATCAGCCGGGCGTGGTAGCGCGCGCCTGTAATTCCAGCTACTCAGAAGGCTGAGGCGGAAGGATTGCCGGAGCCCAGCAGGTCGAGGCTACGGTGGCCGGGAGCAGCCACTGCACTCCAGTCTGGGTGACAGAGTGAGACTCCAACTCAAAACAAAACAAAAAACAAAGAGCTGGGCATGGTGGCTCACACCTATAATCCCAGCACTTGGGAGGCAGAAGTGAACAAATTGCCTGAGCTCAGCAATTCGAGACCAGCCTGAGCAACCTGGTGAGATCTTGTCTCTACAATAAACCAAAAAAAAAAAAAACAATAGCAAGGCGTGGTGGCATGTGCCTGTAGTTCCAGCTACTTGGATGGGTAAGGCAGAAGAATCGCCTGAGCCCAGCAGTTTGAGGATGTGATGGCGGTGATCATGAGACTGTACTTCAGCCTGGACAATAGAGTGAGACTCTGACAAGAAAGAAAGAAAGATAGAAAAAAGTTGTCTTCACAAGTTACAAACAAACATGATGATTGTACTTTATATGTCTTAAGATTAGGAATTTAAATTAGAACACAGTTGACTCCACTGTATATATGCAAAACTGAATATTGCCACACTTCCCCAAAATTATCTTTCTTTTAAAACATACTAAGATTCAACACTCAAGGTAAACATATTAAATTCATTTTGTGGTATGAATAATGTGCTATAATACATGTAATCCATATGTTTAATGCAAGCAAGCACACAAATCACCTCGAGTACTGCCATATACTAATTTATAAATTGTCCTTTCTGTCACCTCTCTTCTTTATACTGGACACTGATAGAGGCAATGGATGTGGAATAAACATAAGCATGACAAATAAATTCTACACAAGAAAAATGCCATATAAAAATTCTGGTAAGATGAGCACAGGAAATATATCTGCCAGCACTGAAATATTGTGTTCTTCTTTATGCATAATGTAACAGAACAGCCTTTGTATTATTTTTAACAGTTCATACTTAATCTATACTTCAAAGGAGAGTAAACAGTGTGTGAACTTAGATGGCTCTTTACCTCATAACTTGGTTCTATAATAGATATTCTTAGGAACTAGACAAGTCAGTCTCTAAATAAACAATAACTTCCTCAGTGTTTCCAAAAGAAGAATATACAACATGAGAAGTTTGTAACTAAACAGATGCTAAAAATCAAATAGCATTTAAGTCCACTTACAGTAAAGCTAAATATAATATTTAATTTTTAAAACTATACCCATAACAATGGCTAATTCTACACAGTTAATTTATGTGAAGAGCAAAGAAATGTTAGAATAATCTGAACAAAACAGCTTTTAAAGGTGGAGGATGGTTTCTTGTGTTGAATACAATTTTTGAACTGTCACCAGTAATCAAATTGATCAGATATTGCCTCAAGCTCTATTCTCTCCTCTTTGCTATCCTTGTGAAAGCAAAGCTCTGCTACTAGTCTTCCCTGCTTTCTCCCATAATATATTCCCCCAAAGCATCAAGTGAATTGTATATTCTTGTCAGAGTATTTATTAAACAATAAAACAACAATGTCATCAAAGCAAATATTCAACAATTGAAAATTACTACAATCACTTAAAATGGAAAACACAGGTTGTAATTTCTATAAAGTGAGCATTAAACCAAATTGGTTGTGTAAGTGATGTCAATATATCTAGTAAACACACGACACATAAAACTACAACTAAAAAAGTTTTACACTGATATTCTTTCTAATAATAATAATAATACTTCAACACTAAGCTTCCTATTTTAATATTCAAAAGAACACTCAAGAAATGGTTTGTGTTGACCAGGTGCAGTGGTTCATGCCTGTAATCCCAGCACTATGGAAAGTTGAGACGAGAGGTTTGCTTTAAGTCAGGAGTTTGAGACTAGCCTATGCAATGCAACATAGGAAGATCTCTTTTCTAGGGATAATTTTAAAAATTGACCAGGCTCAGTGGCACGTGCCTGTGGTTCCAGCTACTTGGGAGGCTGAGGCAGGATGACTGCCTGAGCCTAGGAAGTCAGGGCTGCAGTAAGCCATAATAATACCACTGCACCCCAGCCTGGGTGACAAAGTAAGATCCTGACTGAAAAAAAACAAGAAAAGAAATGGTTTGTGTTGTTCAGCTTTCTTAAAGGAAGTCTCCAAGTAAGTACTATTTGATGTTAGTAAATTTCCTATAATAAATAAAATTATTCAAAATAATTCAATGACTTATTTTGTCATTAGCTCCATGCTCAAAACAGTGTGTGTATTAACAAATGTTTGTTTAAAGGTACTACTAATGTTACTTATCCTCTTTAATTAAAGGGAAATTCAAAGCATCTCTTTCTTTCCTTCACCCCACTTCTACCTCTGAATGAGAGAAAGAAGTTCCCAGGATAATCAATTTAAAAAATGAAGCATACATAGTCAGTCATAATCCTAGAAAGTTATTATTTTTCTCTTTCACTTTAATCACTTACATCTCAGGAAACAAGAGCTATAAGATAAATCCTGGACGTGCCCCTTTCTTAGAAATTACCCTAGACCTTGAAAGTCCAGAGACATGCCCAGGATAATAGAAGCCATGGGACAGGCAAGGATGGCCAAGGATGGACTGTGGAGGAATGCCAGGGAACAAGATGCCCGGGTCATTCTAGACTTTAAACCAAGAGGGCCAAGGTGTCCTCAAGCTCACATGGCTCCTGTCTGGCTGTCCAAGGTAAGAACCTGACCAAATTTGGGACAGAAGTCCCAGTTATTAATCAAAACAATATGCTTTCTTAGAGTGTCAGTTGAGGTTCACAATCATATAGCTAGCCATTTAATATGACTAGCCTTTGGGATTTTTAAAACAAGGGGCTGACATGTCTTCCTCTCACTATCTCTTAGCTCCACAGTTTAACCAATGCTCAACTGAATCAACACAACATGACAAACTTTGCTGGGAGTTAACTATGCATCTAGCACTCATTTAATCTCCACAATAACCATACAAAGTTGATCCTATTATTATTCCTATTTTATGGATAAGAAAATTGAAGCTTCCAAAGTTTTGGGAACTTGCTTGAGGTCAAGTTACTAAATAAATAGAGCTAAAATTTAGACCCAGATTTGTCTAACTCTGTAGTGCAAGCTTTTATCCACTAGATTGTTCTGTTCAAATCAAGGGTACCTGGAAGTAATGAGAACAAGCAAACCTCTTCCATCCTCTCTACTGAAGAGTGTTCACACACTTTATCAGTGGGTTATTTGAGATCTGTATGTTTATGGGAAAGTGATAAAACCTGAAATGAAGTGAACAGCCTGGGCTTTTAAAAAGAAAATTCAAGACAGAATTTCTGAGAAAGACACAGTGTCTTACTGCACAGACGGCATAGGGTTAATACACCCAAAAGCCACCCGGTAAAAAGATAAGATTGCAAGATGATTTAAACACTAATCAAGACCAAGCCATGTTTGTCTGTTCCAATAGAATAACCTATCTTGATTGATTCAACCATTTATTCTCATATGAAAGATACTAGCTAATGGCTTCTATCAATTACAGGATGTAATACTAAGAAATGAGCAAAAATAAATTTCACATGTCACTGATTACACTTTAACAGCTACATTTTTTTCACAACTTCTTGACATTAATAGATGAGAAAGAAAACCACTTTTGCTCAAGAACTAAAGCAGGGTACTGAGATCATCATCAAGAGAAAAATAGCTGGGTGTGGTATCAAGAGCATGTAGTTCCAGCTACCTGAAAGGCTAGGGTGGAAGGATCACCTGAGCCTACACAGGTCAGGCTGCCATAGCCGTAATCATGCCACTGCACTCTAGCCCGGGCACAGAGTGAGACCCCCGACTCAAAAAAAAGAGAGAACTGAAAAAGACAGCAGCAAAGAACTGAAGATAAACTCAGAGTACTTAGTTAATCATCATACCAGACACTAAAAAAGACAGCAGCACAGGCTTCCAGAACTCTTCTCTGTGTAGGAAAGGCCTGGGTAGAGATGGGCTAACAGGTAGCAGACATCTATCCCTACAGAGCACTGAGGAAGGAAGTTGAGCAAACAGGGACAAGATACTCACAGACTTGATTTGTAAATACTGAAGTGATGGAGGAGGCATTTTATATGCTAAAAAGAAGAAAAAGGATAGAGGTAGAAGTCAGAGATAGAGGAGAAAGGAGGCAATGTCAGAGAAGGTGAGGGAGGAATGGATGGATGAGTTTGATTTAGACAAAGAAGAATCACCTAGTTCCTAGGGACTGGATGGTGCAGATACAGAAAAGTCTGATGTGGCAGGCAAAAATTTAACTCAAGCAAGTTTTAAACTCCAGACTCACTGGGCTCAGTGGCTCAGCCTGTAATCCCACGCCTTTGGGAGGCTGAGGTGAGTGGATTGCCTGAGCCCGCGGGTTCGAGACCCGCCTGGGCAGCGAGACCTCATCTCTACAATAAATCAAAAAATCAGCTGGGCGTGGTAGCGCGTGCCTGTAATTCCGGCTACTCGGAAGGCTGAGGCGGAAGGATCGCCGGAGCCCAGCGGGTCGAGGCTGCGGTGGCCGGGAGCAGCCACTGTCCTCCAGTCTGGGTGACAGAGACTCCAACTCAAAAAAAATAAAATAAAATAAAAAATAAAAAAAATAAACTCCAGACTCTACTAAGTAGAAGGCATAATTCCCTCTAAAGAGTAAAGGCAGGAAGATACGATGCTTCAAGAGAATGATGCTGTGGGAGTTGTACTGAGGTGAATACAATAAAAATACTCAACAGAGTTGAGGGTCCAGCTGCTGCCATACACTTAGAGTAGACTCTATTATCACTTGGGGAATACTCCAGCAATCCCCTGCAGTCTGAGTGTTGTGGGGAGTGGGAAAGAGATACAGCTAGAAAGATCCACTATTGGTGACATGTGCACAGGTATGGAAGATGAAGGGTTAATTTGGCACTGAGAAGAATCACAAGACAGAGAAGGAACCAAAGTGAGGAGGGGGATAATATACAAGGAGAGAAAAGAGCGAGCTAGGGGTCTGGAAAAAAATCTAGGTTTAAAAAGTAAATGCAAGCCGGGCACAGTTGCTCACTGTAATCCCAATACTCGGGGAGGCTGAGGTGAGAGGATTGCCTGAGCCCACGGGTTCAAGACCAGCCTGGGAAACATGACAAGACCTCATCTCTACAATTAAAAAAAAAATTAGCTGGGCATGGTGGCGCACATCTGTAGTTCCAGCCACCTGGAAGGCTGAAGTGGAAGGATTGCCTGAGTCCAGCAGGTCAAGGCTGTGATGGCCGTGAGTATGCCACTGCACTCCAGTCTGGGTGACAGAGTGAGACTCTGACTCAGAAAAAAAAAGTAGATGCAAATCAAATCAAAGACTGAGAAAGTTGAAAGGCTAGGAGGCTATGATCAGAGACTGAGTTGAGATCTAAGAGGTGGAACAGTTCTAGATGATTACAGATTACAGGGTACAACTGTGGGATAGGGTTGCTGGAGTGGAAGTAACAATAAAGGAAATTAAGACTCGGTCAACTGAAGAAACATGAGACCAGACTGCCTAAAATTACTAGAGTTATAATGGGGACCACAATGGCTAAAAGGCTGTCAACATCTTCAGTGCATATGGGAGAGTGGGACTGACTAGGAGGTTTAGGAAGAAGCGAGAAGCAGGCAGCTTCAGGTAATGTGTGCCCTAATGCCTGAAAGTGTAGCAGGTGAGGTTGAGTATCACAGATGCTGTGCTGCAGAGCTCAGAAAATAGAAGATGCCCACCATCTCTCTGGATCGTGGTCCATGGGACTCGGGAGAATAAGAAAACAGCATTTTCATCACAGAGATCTGTCCTCCAGCAGCTTAAAAGTGGCAAGAGCCTTGTCCCAGGCAGTGTCCTTTGCCACTGACTCTTCTCCCATTATCCTCACTTTCCTTTTCACAGCACTAAGCATCACCTCCACTCGAAGAACTCCCAAGTGTATATCTCCAATCTTAGGTTCTCTCCTACACATCAAAAGACTGCTTCAAGAGAATGAATGAAGTTGGGGAGACATGCTAAAGTGAATACAATAAAATTACTCAACACAGTTGAGGGCCCAGCTGATACCAAACCCTTAGATCAGTGTATACTTAGATACGTCAAGTATCACAACCTGTACTGTGGTTTTGAATCTCTAAATAGCCTTCAAGATAGCTTTACCTAGACTACTAGCCATTCTTCATTCTCAACATATCAAAAACCCAATGAAGCAATATCTTCCCCTCAAAAATCTCGACTCCACCTTTTCCTATTCCTCTCCCAACCCACTGAAAATGGCCTCATCTTTAATTCTTCTAACACTTCGCTTGCATCTTGTTCAAATTGTACCAATTCTTCCCTAATGGTGCCCATAGGGCCATCTTTGCTATAACTCTCATTTCCATCCCCCTAATTCAGGCCCTCAGAGCTGAATACACACGATTACAAGAGTCTCAGGATTCTCCCACCAAGTTGCCCTGCTTTCTTATCTCCACTCTTTCCAATGATTCAAAACAAATCTTCCTAAAGCCTTACTTGGCATATGTCAATCTCTACTCACAAACTTCCCATATCTCCTAGTTATTTCCATAGTAATAAAGACTAAACTCACACCAAGCACTGAGCGTTCTTCATGCGCCATCTCTTTACCATGTCTCTAAAACTACCTCCCATGACTTCACAACAGGAATCAGACACATCATGGTTATTCCAATTCCTACTATCCCCATGGACTAAATAAACTTTTAATTAATTCACCTAATTCATTCTTACTACAAAGCACATATTTCCTTTAAGTTAAGATTTTCATTCAGTAAGATTCAAAGCACATATTTCCCATAAGTTAAGATTTTCATTCAGCAAGATTCAAATAACCTGGCATTTGTAAAAATGATCTAGCATAATTTCCCTAATGGACTATGACAGTATAAATGACTTCAACAGCTGTTCACTTGTAATTTACAATTTAAAAGGTGAGGGACCCATTAGTAGAAGTCTGAAGTTTACTTATTAATAACATTAATTTATTGTCATATTTCAGTTCTCAGAGAAAGAAAATCTTACTGATCACAAACATCCTAAATGATGATGATAATACCTAGAAATGCACTACATATTTTTACATACACACAAAATGTGCACTGCAGTGGAACACATCCATGATGGATTGTGAGTAAAAACATATACATCATAACAGAGGATCCCTGATCTACTGGATATAGAAAGCTTTCCCACCTGCAAGGCCCCACTAACCCTAGGAAAGCTACAACAAGCTAGCACATTCAGAAAGACTCTACAACTTTTCTCTTTCCTCTTGCAACTCCCAACAATGCAAAACACAACCACCCTAGCAAATGGCAAATATGTACACACAGACACACACCAAATATATAAACACATCAAAAAACAGGAAAGTTTCAAAAAGAAACTGACTGATGAAGGTTAAAAAAGAAAAGGAAGAAAGAAAAAATAGTCAAAGGGAAATGAGCTCAATTTTATTTGAGGTGTCAAAAACACACCTAGGTAGAGACATATACCAGATAGAGAAAATACTAATCTGGGGCTTATAAAGAGAGGTTGACACTGGAGATTGTTTTTTAATTTAACTTCTGGGAATATATAAGAAGAAAGTATAGAAAGGAGAGGAGCGAGGGGAAGACAGAACCTTTGGAAACGCCTCTGCCACAAAGTGGGAGGTGGCACAAGAGGAAAAGGAAAAATCAGTAAGAGAGAGGCAGGAAGAGAACAGAAATAGACAAAAGCCAGTGGGGAGAAAAATGTGCTCAAGAAAGAGGAAGTGGGCAACAGTCCAAGATGCTTCAGAGAGACTGAGGGAGGTTATGACTAAGATCCCATTGGATTTGAAATAAAATAACATAGATACACATCTTTTGAGAGGCAGCATTTAGTTTAGTGATGGCAGAAGTTTGGGAGAGGAGGATAAGGAGCAATCAACAGGGGAGGCCAGACACATGTCATTCATTCACATGGACTGACACTAAAGGGAAGGAGACAGTGGACACAAGACCATAACTCTGCTAGCAGAGGGTCCTTGCCCAATTTGCTCACTGATGTCCCCAGCACCAAGAACAGTTCCTGACATGTAAAGATACTTAGTAAGCATTTGGTCATTGAATGTTGCTTATTCAGCGAATGTTACTGTTTGATTAAACAAATGAATTAATGGATGAAGACAGTATTTGTATTCGAGGGAGCATGATCATCTTGTTGTCATACATAACTTAGATATGAATGCTGGAGTTACACTGTACAGTACTAAGATCTGGTTATAAGATAAAAGTTGTGCTTGCAGCTCACATCATTGGACTCAATGCAAAATGGAGGCCTTGTCTGAAGGCTGAAGTTAATCTCTTTAACAGTAATCTGAGCTGGGCTCAATGGCTCAGCCTGTAATCCTGCACGTTTGGGAGGCTGAGGTGAGTGGATTGCCTGAGCCTGCGGGTTCGAGACCCACCTGGGCAGCGAGACCTCATCTCTACAATAAATCAAAAAATCAGCGGGGCGTGGTAGCGCGTGCCTGTAATTCTGGCTACTCAGAAGGCTGAGGCGGAAGGATCGCCGGAGCCCAGCAGGAGAGGCTGCGGTGGCCGGGAGTGGCCACTGCACTCCAGTCTGGACGACAGAGTGAGACTCCAACTCAAAAAAAAAAAAAAAAAAAAAACAGTAATCTGAGGAAAACTGGAATTTTCAGACCAAACACTGAAACTGGTAGAAAACCCTTGAGTGTCTGCAGAGTGGAATTCCCTCTCTGCCTTGACTATGAAAGCCACCACATATTGAAAGGAACATGAGAGATGGGTTGTTTAGAAGATGTTCTCCACTTGGGGGCAGGTGGGAGCAGGTATTAAGAAGTCCAGGTCTTCATGACCTGCCTGGGCAGGTGAGACCTCATCTCTACAATAAATCAAAAAAATTAGCTGGGTGTGGTAGCGCATGCCTGTAGTTCCAGCTACTTGGAAGGCAGAGACAGAAGGATCACCTGAGCCCGCACTCCAGCCAGGGTGATAGAGTGAGACTCCTACTCAAAAAAAAAAAAAAAAAAAAAAATCCAGGCAAGTGTCTACAAAGTTGTAGACACCTTCTGAAGTTAGAGGTGACCATCTAAGGCTGCTAACTGTTCTTGTACCCTGTGTTCTTGTACCTTTTGGTCTGTCCCACATTTAAAGTCTTTGGAAAAGTCCCACCTCAGCATGAGAGTATAAAAGAATTCAGCTAGCACTGGGAGATGGGATGTGGCCAGCACCGTGGTGGCAACAGAAGCAGCAACAACAGCTGGAGGATCACAAGCATTATGGATGCAGATTAACCACCAAGACACCTCAAAGTTAAAGGGTTTCTTGCTTTCTTATCAGTTGACCAGGTAGTCTCTTAAAGAGAATCTAGGAAATAATTTTTTTCCTGTTGTTTTTCATTTTTTTGTTTGATTTTGACAACAGAGACCCAAGTTGATAAGATCTAAAGGAAGAAAACCAGTAGAGAGCAACAGAAAGAAGATACCATTATAGGGCTGAGTGCAGTGGCTCACACCTATAATCCCAGCAATCTGGGAGGCCGAAGCAGGAAGATCATTTGAGGCAGGGAGTTCGTGACCAGCCCGGTCAACACAGCAAGACCTCATTTCTACAAAAATTAAAAACAAAATTAGCCAGGCACAGTGGCACACACCATTAGTTCCAGCTACTTGGGAGGCTAAGGTGGAAAGATTGCCTGAGCCCAGGAGGTTGAGGCTATGGTGAGCCATGATCAGGCTACTATATGCCAGCCTGGTTGACAGAATGAGACTCTAACTCAAAAAAAAAGAGAGAGAGAGAGAAAGAGAGAGAAAAGAAGGGAGGAAGGAAGGAAGGAAGGACCATTATAAAGAATTTACATAATGTAACTAAGTGCAGCCCTGAAATAAAGGAGAGATCATGAGACGCAAAGGCCAGATGGAAAGGTTGGTTTTTGCAAAGTGGTATAAAGACATTAAGAGAGTAGAGAGAAAGAAGAAGATGCTCCAGGGAAGTACGCTTGGAAGTCAGGGGACAGCATCAGTTGAGGGACTTAGGAACACAGAAAGTTCACATAGTGACTAAGAGGGTTTTTGTAATCTTGAGGGACTGTGTCACTGGACTCTCCAGAAATTCTAATCAGCACAATTTAATTCTGTCTGCAGCAATACGTGAAGACCTGGAAAGGTTTGTTGCAAATGTTGGAGGTGCAACCCCATACTTGAGCAACACCCAGCTCACCATAATGGAGCTACCACATACTGAGACAGTACACTGGGAAAAACTCACACCTTGCAGCAGAATCATCTCACGATGTTAGAAAAAACTGTAAAGACAAGTTCTAATCAAAAGAATCACAGTTAATCTACCCTGCTTATTTTCCTTTCAATAGAGCCAAGCTGTACCATTTCATACCAAAATCTTTAGTCTTCCAGACAGAAGAAACCTTGGAAACCATCTAGTCCAACCCATCACCTATCATGACTTCATTTTTAGAACTCCATGGCAGAAACTATCAGTGGACACTGGCATCCTCAGGCTGCTCCGCATTTCTCAGACTCCTTTGAAGTACGCCTGAGGTTACGTGGTTGAGTTCTGGCCAATGTAATGTTAGTGAAAGTAACTGAAGTCACTCCCCGGCCTGGCTCTCTCTGAGATGGAGGAAAACCAGCCAACCTGTACATCAGACTCTGCTTGAGAGAGAAATACACTCTGATCATGTTAGTCACAGGTATTTGTGGATGTTTCACCAGGAAGTATTCATTAATTTCCAAGCCACCTTTTAATAACCTAGCAACTCAGAGCTGCAAATCACTCTAGAGAAAGGGATGGGGATTATTATTATCCACAATCTCAAAGGATTAAAATGATAGAAGCAATCATGAAAACCATTTTTGCAATAGTAGCATCTCGCTTATCTAATACTTATTATTTGAGACTTCACTTGTAAGGCTAAAGCTTATCAGACACTGAGGTCAGGTAATACTCCTGAGAACCCCCTGAGAACCAGGAAGTAAACAGTAGAAGACTTAGCAACCCAACTGAGAACTATAGAAAGTTTAGAGTATTACTCACCAGTTAGCTCCTCAGGCTCTGTCTACTTAGTTGTTATTTCAGAGTAAATAAATCAATCCTGGAAATCTGTTTATCTCATATCAGATAAAAAGTCAGAAGTTAGAAGCAAAAGGGGGTGGCGCTAGAAGGGAGCAGAACACAATAGTATGAGGGTGAAAAGAGAGATCAGAAAAACTTGGCCGGGCATGGTGGCTCATGCCCGTAATCCCAGCAATTTGGGAGGCCGAGGCAGGTGAATTGCTAGAGCCTGGAAGTTCAAGATTAACCTGGGTCACATAATAAGACCCCATCTCTACAAAAACATCAAAAAATTAGCCAGATGTGGTGGAGCAGGTCTATAGTCCTTGCTACTCAGGAGGCCGAGGTGGAAGGATTGCCTGAGTCCAGGAGATGGAGGCTGCTATGAGCCGTGAACTGCCACTGCAGTCCAGCCTGGGCAACGGACTGAGACCCTGACTCAAATCAGAAAAGAAAAAGAAAAATTCTAAAAGGCAACACAGTCAAATCAAAAATAATGGTATATGGTGCCCCATTTTATAAAGCATCAATGAGCCCCACTGCTCCTCAGAGTCCTGAAGGCACCAAGGCAGGAGCTCAACCCAAAGCTGATGCTAACAATGATGACTTTAGTCTTCAAGTTACCATTGCTAACTTGTAAGGAAGGTAGGAAAACGTGTGGGAAGTCTCTGGAAATGGTTACTCAAAACAGTTTCAGTGTTTAAAGATATACGTTTGATCATTTGAAAAACTCATTTGGGAGGGCTACCTTATTCCCTAGGAAGTCTCTCATAAAGATGCTCAAACCTATGAGACATTGCCAGCTGCACCTGGTTTGATTTAGATGTAGTTGGTTCCTCTCAAATCAACTTAGGTGTACACATCCAGCAGGAAAAAACAAAAACAAAAACCTGACTTCCATGGGAAAAATCAAGACCTAAATGTCATGGGGAGTAGCAAGGGCCTTGGGGATCATGCAGCCAAGACCCCTGCGGAAAGGCTGGGTGTCCAGAGGGCACAAACCCATCTCACTGTGGAGACTAACCGCAGCCTCTGTGCCCTGTTTGGGAGCCCGAAGATAACCATCCACATCCCAGTGTCCCAACCGATTCACAAGTCAGCTTATCCCTTCCCAGGCCTCCCAGTGGGCCTCAAGCCTGACTCACTCACCTGCAGAAAGCAGTGTCCGACTGGAGTGTGCTCTGCGAGGGTGGCATTGTACACCTGCCGCCTGAAAACAGGCTCGTTGTCATTCACGTCATCCACTGTGACGCTCACCCGGCAGGTGGCAGAGAGCGGGGGCTCCCCGAGGTCCTGGGCCACCACTCTCAGCTCCACCGCCTCCTGGACCTCGCGGTCTAGAGTCCGGATGGTGCTGACCACGCCGCTCTCGGGATCGATAGCGAAAGCCGGCCCACATTCCGCCGTGGGCAGAGTCTCTGGGCTACAGAGAGCGGAGAGCTGGACCAGCGTGTAGCGCAGCCGGGCGTGGTCAGTGCCAGCCTCGTCGGCGTCAGAGGCGCTGACCCACACCACCGCCGTGCCGGGGGCCGCAGCCTCGGACACAGAGGCCCGGTAATGCTCCTGGCTGAAGAGCGGCGGCTGGTCGTTGAGGTCGGCGACCCGGAGCAGCAGCGTCTCCACGGTGCTCAGCGGCGGGGACCCCGCATCAGTGGCCACCAGTCGCAACTCGTACAGATCATAGCTCTCCCTGTCCAGGGGTCCCTCGACGCACAGGAAAAATACCCCAGGGGGCCCGCCGGGCCGCAGCGCGAAG